TTAATTTTATATCGGGTACTTACTTATGGGAGAATTAATGAAAAACCTAAGACCCCAGATATCTCCTACTCTCTATAGCTTAGTTCATTATGACGTTACCCGGAATGTCACACTCACCCGAGCAGTAATAATGGGGAGATCACAGAAGCACAACAAGAATCGTATTTACTTTTTGTACACTGTTCATAGGCTTTTGATAAGGCTAGACATGGTGATGTATTTAGAATTTTGAAAGAGCTAGAATGAATCATTGATGGAAAAAATCTGTAAAAATAATGTGTATTTGAACTGAGATCAAAACGCTGCTAAAAAGTATGAGGCAGAGTATTGTGACCATAAGCAGATTAAAACAGGAGTTCCGCAAGGATCCATTTTGTGAAAAAAAAATGGTGAAATGGTATAGGTTTAACGCCTCTATCAACACTATTATGTTATTTAAGAGGCAGTACCTCCTAGTTTAATGTCCGTCTCCGATAGGACCGAGCCAAGTGGAAAGTTCGTGTAAAGTGCCTTTCCCAAGGACACAACGTCGGACCGAGCTGAGGCTCGAACCCCCGAACTCGCAATCTCACTATTACGAGTCCAGTAGCCATACCACTAGGCTACCGACGCCATCCATTTTGTCACCAGACTTTTAAAACGTAAACACACCGTGAAACAATCCGCAAAAATAGAATTAATAATAATATACAAAACAGTTAAGGTCTTTTTTTGTTTTTGTAAGAGTTTTATGGCGCTCGCAACAGCATAAGGTCACACGAGCGCGCGAAACACAAGTTGGTTGCATTCTCAACAGTTCACTGCACGGCTGGGCTCGGGTCAACGATCAGGTTTTAAAATGTTACAATGTAAAACATTTGAGGTAAATAAGTTCTTTGTTTTTAAAATAACTTCTAAATAACATTCACAATTTTATAGCAATTTCATTCACAATTTGCCGTAAAGGCCAATGGTCTTTATAAAATGTAGGTTCTGTTGAGATCAACGACGGGAAACAGATCAGCTGTAAACCGTTAAAAATCTGTAGAAACTATACACTTGGATTTTTTAAATTAGTATTTTCAAGAATAGAGAGCTAACAGGTGTTCACAAAAATAATTATTGAGAAAGTGGCCGCCAAAGATTAGTTATTCCCTTAGCTTAAGAGTCCGTGGTAACTGAAAATTTACCTTTTTTGTGCCTTTAATCAACGTTTCTCAGAAAAATCCGCACAGAAATGAATTTTTTAATGGGCATGAAAGGTGCTGAGCCAAAAAACAAAAATTTGATAAAAATTCACAAACCTGCGGAAAAATGCAAGTTTCTTCACTTTGATTATTTTGACGAGAGCCTGATTCCACAACAGGAATTTTTCCCGCACTATAATACTAAGTTTTCTGTTGAAGTTTTGATACATGGGATATATTTTGTTGGTGGTGTCTGGAGTGTGGATTTGTACGGATTTTTTGCAAACTTTAACCAGGACAGGTTAATACTAATGGAAGAGAGAAGGGAAACAACTTTAGGGACATGGTGGTAGGAAAACGTAATGAAGCAAAAGAAACATGGATAATATAACAGGAAAGAAACGAAACAAAGATAGCAAATACATGCATTCTAAAATAAAAGAAGTAAGTGGGCCAAAGGAATACCCAAATACAGGGTGCATAAGATCAAACGGTTCGTATATTTTAATGGATAGAAAGGGATGTTTTAAACAGATGGTCAGAATAAATAGATTAATTTTTCGTGTATATAAAACAAAAGAGAAAAACCGGTTTAAAAAAAAGAAAAGAAATGGACCAACCATACTGACAGCACACGTAGCCTATATGCTGTCATGAAAAACGTAAAACAAAGAAAGACCACAGGGCCAGATAATATCCCAGTAGAAATGATTGTCACACTAGAAATATTGGGCTCTGAAATGACCAAATAGGCTCAGGAATTCTATCTATGACATCGGTTTTATTCCGGAAGGTAAAATGATTGAGTCAGTTTTTATAGCTTTACCTAAAAGCGTGGCATCGGTGGCCTAGTGGTTAAGCTCTCGGACTCGCAACCGTAAGGTCGTGGGTTCGAATCCCGTCAGGGGCCCGACGTTGTGTCCTTGGGAAAGGCACTTTACACGAATTTTCCTCACTTCACCCAGGTGGGCATGGGTACCCGGCTATAAACAGCGAAAGATCTTGTCAGTTTGTTAGTGTTTGAGCGCTTAATCAGCTGCTTGCACTGTATG